AAATAATTTAAAAAGACAAATTACAATAAAACGGTTTATTATCCAACTATCAGAAATTTCACAACATGCCAAGGAAGAGAGGAAGGAGCAATTAAATAATCAAAATTATAAAGGATTTAAAAATATATATAAAAATGGGGAATATCGCACTTCTGACAATCGCAGCGAGTGTGTGGGCTAAATTTGGAGAATCCGTGCTTCTCGCGTGGACAACTGTATGTGGCTGGCTCATGCGTCAGAAAACCTGATTTATTTGTGTACGCACCAGACGAAAAAACAAAAAATATCGTGTATCCACGAGCACTCCAATAAATAAATAGAATTGAAACAACACTTTGAAATGTTTTCCCAATGAAAACGAATAATAATAATAAGTTTCAATAAAAATGATAAAATGAAAATTTAATTTTATCATAACGAGTTTGCTTGAATTTCGTTTCTTCTGAGATAGCAGCAATGCGCGACGGGTAGGCTAGTATACCAATAAAAATGTTCGACAATATAAAAGGAAGAATGTATAAAATTAAGTGATTTCACAATACATTTCTGATTTAACAGGTCTTTCAAAGTTAAGCATAATTTTCAGAAAAAGTTAAGGGGACAGACAGATCTCCACAATTCAAAATTTTGTGGACTGCTACAAAACTTGTGATCTAAAAACAGATGATATTAGAATAGCAAGGATAAATCTACAGTTAATGATCTTATCAAAATAAAAAAGAACTTAAATAACTACCAGATTACATCAAGCTTCTTTTCTGAGATTATATTTAATTAATTATAAATAATTTGTCATTAGAGGGAGATGTTAGGTGCCATCTCTTATTAAATATAATAGTAGCCCAATGTAATCCAGTAATTGTTTGGCTTTACAAATTTATCAGGTTTAGTGATGTTTATGTATATATATGAAAAAGAACTCTTTAGACACAAAGTGATGTTTATTGAAGAGTAGTGCCCACAAAATTCCAGTTTATTTTAAAGATGACAACATTTGTAAATGAATATTTGGGAGCACTAATAGAACATTGAAAAATAAAATGAAGGAACATAGAACAAAAAAAAAAGATATTCAGAAAAAAAAAGAAATAATACATTGGCTGAGCTATTACTTAAAAAACAAGCAGAAATAGAATGGGAGAAATCTGAGCTTATAGTCATAAATACAAAAAATCTTCCTGTTCATATACCTGAGAATTGGTAAGAGCTGTGAGCTTAATTTTAGTTTTAAATAAAAGGAGAAAGATTGAACATCAGTTTCTAGCTGGTATTTAGTCTTCTTGATTGTAAATTGTACTGTAAAAGTTTTTATTAAATTGTTGTATTTAAATTTTTGTTGCCTTTTTTAATGTTTTTATTAGTATTTATTTATTTTTATAAATAATAATTGAGGCAGAGCATTAGCAAAGTCTCTTTTATGTGGCTTACACAATTGTGTTTGTTCTCAAAGTCTGTTTGATTTCGATTAAACATTGCCATTTTCCATTAATTGCAGTGAGGAATTCAAAAATGTAATGAAGGTTCATTTAAATGTAAAAAGTAGGAGTCCATGAATTCATTTTGATATACAGAGGTATTAAAATGACGATGTTTGCTCTCTGATGTGACTGAGTGTGCCTAACAGAAAATAGGTGTGAAAACAAACAAAACACAAGAGCAAAACAATTGATGACAATTGCTTTGTAGTTGGATTGTCTCCGTACCTGGCCACCATGGCTGGCAGGTACAAGGATTGATTGCCTTTTATTTGCCTAACAAGTGCAGGGATTCCTTCTTTCTTTTCGGCACTGCCTCAATTCTGTCACCATACAACAAAGACATACAATGTCCTAGTTAAAACATATTTATTTTAAAAACCTATATTTTAAAATTTATACTATATTTAAGCTGCATTTTAAATTCCTTCATTGTTCAAACATTTCATTCTTTCTTTATATAAATCTGAAGATGAAACAAAGTTTCAAAAACATTTAATCAAAATAAATTTTTTGACCCCAGAAAATTTTTAAGTGTGATTATTTAGGTGAATTATCCATTATAAATGACTTTATAAATAGATAAAAATGAAAACATGCTTATTCAATATATATTTGATATCCAAATTTGTTTTCATTCCTTTAATTGAAGCTGAGTATTATGTTAATTTTCAAATAATTCTCAATTGTTTTACACTAAATTTTCTGAAATATTTGTTAAAGAAAATGACTTGAATAGATTTTTTAAAAATTGTTCAAATATCTTAATTGTTCAATTAATAATTTTTTTTAGGGGGGAATCTTCAAGATAGGCAGAAATTGTCTGCATTTATCACAGTGAATGTCAAGTTTCTTTGATTACTATCAACAGCCTCCCCTGTGGTGTCATGTACTTGGCAACATGTCTTTGTTACAAGACGTAACAGTGACTAGTAATAAGCTAATTTAATATAGTTTTTTTTTATTTTTTTCTTCCAATTTAATGGAAATCTTTGTACTATAGTACTGACTAAGACACAATAAATTGCTTAAGAAAAAAAATGTTTCAAAGCAAAAAATAAATATAAAATAAAATAATGAAACATCTGAAGAAAAATAAATATGATGATAACTGCTCTATGTGCAATAATTTCAAACCATTAATCTGAAATTTAAATCATATGTGCACTTAACTTACACTATAGAAGAAACTGTTGAAAGTTAAAACTTTAATCATGTGCAACACTTGCCTACGGGTATCTAGCTCTTGTTACCAAGAGAAGAGGAAATTATTTTTGTTATCACAATATCAATTTATCTTAAACAATTTTGTTTAAAAGGTTCTTGTTAAAAATTACTGCAGGAAAAAAAATAATATATATGTTAATATATATATTTGCATGTGTTTATATTGACTAAAGTTATGGCAAATTGCAGCTTAACAATAGCATTTTGTTTTCTTCGCTGATTTTTAAAAAAATTTTTTAAACATGATAGATTAAAAAACTGAATTTCACAGAAGAAATTTCAAATAAAAAAGAAATGCACAGTCATAACAAATGTGGAATTAGCATGAATTAAAATATGTTTGTAAGAAGAGATCATTGTTGGGAATAGGGAAAAAAAATTCTCACATTTACATGATTGAATGAACTTTCAAGCGAGAATATTACATTCCATTATGTCAGTTGGGCTCCCAGGGCAACTAAGTGAGCCGACTTTTTTAATTTTATCAGAATAAAGAGATAACAAAGAAAACTTTTTATTTATAATATTACTGCGACTCAATTTCTATGTCTGTAAGTTCTGATTTGTGAAATGTATTTTCGCATAACTGATTATCATTCTCTATAATTCCTATGCATCTGGGTGTCTTGAAGCCATTTGTACCATCTGGTCCCTTGGGTAACCTCACAGCCACTACACGTGGATGATTACCATTGTTAGAAATGCTGCGGAGACGACTGATTAAACGTTCTGGTCTTTGGGCGGGTTGACTCTCTCTGTAAAAATATATTCCCATTAGAACAAACATTATATTAATTCATATTAATATAATAAAAAGTGAGAAAATTTTTCAAAGACATACCCTATTTTGACTACTCTACAAGCTGAATATTTTCCAGTTCGCTGATGATGTACTACCACAAATTCTACTTTGTCTCCTGGCTGAAGAGAAACACCACCCTTCACTTCAGACATGTGAAAGAATAATTTCNAAATTAAAGTGTTTGTTTCGATTATCCGGATTTTTTCTTATCCGGACTACCTTCATCCCCAATTAGTCCGGATAATCGAGGTTCTACTGTATTTATTTTGTTTGTAAAGAATTAAAAAATAATTTTTAACGATACAATAGTTTTTGTTAGGCTTAACATCGACGAAAATTCAACGCGAAACGACACGCAACGGATAAAAATTTCGAAATCGGACGCGTTAAACTATTTTTTCGTACGTAAATCAGTTATCCGGACAAACCCAGTCCCCAATTGATTCGGAAAATCGACGCTCTACTGTATATATAAAATAAAATATTTGCAATCATTATATTTGTATTTATTACTATTAATTAACTATTTTGATGATTAAATTGCTATGTTGTTTATTCTCTGTATTCATAATAAATTTGAATATTTATTTATTTTAGGGGTCCTAAATAATTTGATCAAAAAATGCCAACCAGGAGAAAGTGTTATTAATATCTGTGAACTAGGTGATAAATTGTTATTAGAAGAAACTGGTAAAGTTTTTAAGAGAGAGAAAGAAATGAAAAAAGGTAATTTCAAATCTTTGAAAAAAAATTATTTTTTATTGATATTATTTACTTTGAGTGTCATTATTTACTACTATATTTAGTTAAATTTAAGTTGATTGATTTCTAATGTTTGTTGAAGAAATTTTATTTAATATACACCCAATTCAGATTTTACACTATTTAGATTTAACTTGGTCTGGAAACAGTTCATCCTCTAATTATAAGATTTGTTTTGATCTAACACATTTTAATAAATTTGTCTTTTTAAAAATCTCCATTTGATTTTAATTTTAAGAAGAAATATTTATACTTTTTTTCCTAAAAAAATTTTTTTAAAAATAATTTATAGAATTTGCACTTAAGATTGCTATACACATACAAATAAATTTTAAGAGTTGGCTTTTTGTTTTTTTACAACTTATTTGAATTATTAGCTACAACCAATCTTTCATTTCAATCTCACAATAAATTGAAGCAGTCAGATAAACCTTAATTCATAGTTTGATGATTTGTTTGTATGATTGCTTTTTTTTCTTATTTTTTCATTGTGGAATAGTATAAGTTATTTGGTGTTAAAAGCTATAAGCAGGGATGCACAACCTTTTGTGAAGAAGGGCCAAATTAGGATTAAGTTTACTGACTGGGGGCCAGACCCCCAAGCGATTAATGCGATGGCTGAGATTGGATGCTGGCGGCAATCTTCTTGATGTCTGGTATAATGGCAATGTTGAAACAACCAGCAGATTTTCCAAATTCTCTTTGGTTAACCTGTTCCGTGTTTTGCACTTGTTTAAATTCATAAGCGAAAACGCTTGTTCGCATACATAGGTACTGCCAAACATGCTTGCACAAAATCGAGCATTGTCTTTCAGTTTTGGAAATGATGTATCTGNGTTTTGATCCAAAATATAATAAAAATATTAGTGATGGGACAATGAATCAGGAATCAGAAAATAGGGCATTTTCCAGTAATTGAAACTTAGAAATCTTGTTACTATTTTTGATTCCCTAAAATGGGGACAATACTGTCTGTCTCTATTTTAAGGGGAGATAGGCAGACATTAGGTTTTCATTGGGTCAGCAACTTTGAAATCATGGTCACTGGTTGGCAAAAATATTTAAGTTTTGGTGAAACAGTTTAAAAAATGAACAAAATTATATTTTAATTGAAAAAAATATTATATAAAATTATTTTTAATATTTAATATGTTTACTTATAATGATAAAACAACTTTCTCTTTATAATTATGCAAGTTTTTCTTATGATTCTCAGATGATGCTGTACTATGTTAAATTTTCAAATGCAATTTGCACAATTCTAATTTAAAAATACTTGTTTGTGCAAAGTCTTCTGTAATTTTTGAGTCTAAAAACTTGATTTTTCAAGATGAGTAAGTATAAATATTTGTCTGATTCTTCTTTTGCTGGAAGAAAATTTTACACAATTGTACATTTAGTTCAAGTGAATGAATTCAAAAATTGGTTAATTCATGATGATGATGATCATTTGCATCATTTGACGAATCTCATTTAGTGTTAAATATGATGGAATTATGGCATTTACAAGGCATGCTGATTGTGAGAAGCATTAAAAATGAAGTGCATTGTCTCATTACCTTCCCCCTTTCCCAGTCATATTAAATAATATATTGCATTAGCCAACAAAACTGTTTTAAAAGATGATACAATGGGTTTTTTTCCCTTTTTAGTAAAAGGAAATTTACTTTGAGGGTAGTGTTACAATATTAACTTTATCTGAAATAAGATTACAAAGTTATTTTGTAGTACACAACAAAAGCATGCGTGTCCACATATAAATGAAAAATTTTGGGGTTTCTTTCAGAATATTGATTCCAAATTTCCAACTTGTTTTCCATTTTTAAGCTTGATGTTTATTATTAATAATTAATGAATGGACCATGCTCATAATGTAAAGCATTAATTTTTCTAAACTAAAATAAACTTTAGAGTATTTAAAAGAACAGGAATTGGGAGTTTTCAATAGAATTGATATCGGGAGAAATTTTGGTATTGTCCCATCACTAAAAAATATATAAATTTAAAAAAGACTGAATAACTGTCATTAATTTCTAATTTTACATACAGTTTTATATATTATTTAGTTTTTGGCCTTTAATAGAATCTGACCCATATGCAAAAAGAAAAAAAAATGTTTTTGTTGATTTGGACTATTTTATTTAAAATATGTTTCTATTTTGTTTGCTTAATAATGCAAATTTTCTGTTGCTTTTGAAATTTCATTATAGATTTTAAGATACATGATTTGAATACTGTAATTTTTCGTAATGAACTGCTATCTTAGAATATGTTTACTAAACAATATTTTGCTTTAAAAAATGTGTAAAGTATTTGCATTTTAAAAATATACTTTAAAAATCTTTTGTAGGTATTGCATTTCCAACATGTTTATCTGTAAACAATTGTATTTGTCATTTTTCTCCTTTAAAAAGTGAACCTGATTATATTCTTAAGGTTGGAGATATGGTAAAACTGTAAGTATCTTTAATAAATTGTTATAATTGAATTTTTATAAAATAAACCTTATTAATAATAATAGTACTTTGATATTAAATTTTATATAAACTATTTGATATTTTTATAAGATAGCTTGCAATGATGATTAATAATGAAGCATGCAATGCCATAATGTTTTAAATATAAAAAAAAAAATCTTTTCAGGAGAGGTGTGAAAAACACTTTTTTTTAGTGAATGAATTCATTTCGATGTTACAATAAAATGGTAAAAAAACTCACTAGGTTACAAATTCTCTGGAATATCAAAATGATATAAATATAAGCTCTATTATAGTATTGCATGTTTCATTATTGTTTAACATGTTTATTACTGTTTATGAACTAAATTACAATTGATCATCTCTTATCTACATGCAGTCTGAATTGTCTCATGAAATACATTTTTACCCTTCAATACATTTTTCCAGAAACAAGCATATTCATAGCAAAGAGATGTAAACAGTGGTGGTTCTACATTTTTGTTTTGTGCCTTGGATCTTAAACTGTTATGGGGTCTCCTTTGAAACCAACAACAATAGCATAACATCTAATAAGGTTCAAAGGTTTTGTTGCTCTTTCAAGGACCTCAAGGCTGAAATTGTTGAGAACAGCTAGTAGTTGTGGAGTCCTTGAAAAGTGTGGAAAGAATCTCACTGTATGGCCAATACAGTGAGATTCTTTCCACACTTTGTTAGGTCTATGTAACTGCTGTTTGTTCTATGTCAGATTGCAAATTTTTAAAAATTTAGCCACATATCAAATTATGATTAAAATTGCTGTAATGGGTTATCTTATATGTCAAAATCACTAGTGTTAAAATAAGAGTATTTTTTGAATTTTAATTTAATGTTCTATTCTTTGTGGTTATTCCATATTCATTTTTTTCAACTTGAAGATGATCTATGGAGTAGATAGAAAACGTTCGTTTTTTAAATAAACTCCCTCGGCAACGGATTAGGTGTTGATTATTTTGATTATGCCTTAGATTTGTGACAAAATAAATTTATTCTATAGTTATTCTGCAGTTTAAGCAGTATCTCATGCAACTGACCCTAAAGCAATTATTTAACTCCTTAAGCCCCGAGCAATTTTTGGTATTAATGTAATTAAACATAAAAAATACTTAAAACTGAAAAAAACGAAAGAAATGCATTAATTTTGAAGAAAAAGCTTTAAATTTTATTTTCCTTTGTCTCGCCTTTCTGTGAAATTTGACACTGATGAGCCATTGTTTACACAGCTGGATGACCTTGAGAACAGCTGGAGTTGGATTTCCCGGGACATTCTCATAGATGTCTTAGGAGGACAAGGGTTTAAAGTAGGGTGACTGGTAACTAGGCCTATATTTTTAAAAAATTAAAAATTTTATTGCGATTTCCGACCCCTCCAATTAATTAAATTTATATAAAATAAAATATATTAATTAAAAAAATTTAAAAACTATTGGAGGTCGTTTTTGACATCAGAAAGCGTATCATGCAAATCTAATGATTGATAAAAAAATATCAGACAATTAATCTTAAAGTATTTATAAGGAAAGATGGGCCACAGAGAGTTTGTGTCTGAAATTT